GACCTAAATTATTCATCCCTTCCATACAAGTGTATGCATCTGTTAACACTGTACTTAGCCAAGTTTGAACATTACTTTGATGCCATTCAAATGCTCTTTCGCCGTCTAAACTCAAATGTTGAAGCTCTTTAACAGAATTTGTAAGTTGGGAAACACCATCTGAGATTTGATCTAAACAATCTTTTGCCGCTTGATTATTATTCTTATGATTACCCTTGTTGATTTGATTGAATTCTTTGCATACCTTCATGATGTAGTATTTTGTATTTATAGCCTTAGCTAAACTTACCTTTAAAGCAACTTGAGCTATTTCTTGAGGATCTTGTGAGGTAGAATTAACATAATTAGATAAAGTTCTCACACAAAGTTCTTGATATCGAGTACGTCTACATTGAGCCTCTACAAAAGTCATAGTACGAGGATTCATCAAACGATTAGTGTTGATACTCCCTGTTGCACCCTTCATGGAGAATATCGATAGGACAAGAATTAAAATGCAATGGACGATTTTCTCCATTGATGTGTATATAGTTGATGCGTTTTCTGTAATTGAACTGATACCAAACCAAATTAAACCAAATATTATCTGTCTGAATTGAATGAGGGGAATACAAAGAAGAAAAACAGGTTTGAATAGAGAATGGCTTGTAAATGTTTGCTACAATATGTAATTAAAGAAGGCATTAGTCTTATATATAGGGTTTTTAATTTATTTTTTTTTACATATAAGTATGATAGTTTGACTTTTTTTAATTTTATTTTACGTGTGGCATATGCATAGATTAATGAGACGTGAGTGTTCATTAATTAACAATTTTTAAGTTTCTGATTTATTTGATTTGCACGTGCAAGTAGCTTCCAAGAAGTGGGGTGGTGGTGGTCACTAGTCAGTCAAGTTAGGGTTACAACTTAAAAATAGGGAAAATATGTTTCGTGTCTATTGGGAGAAAGTATTTACACCACACAACCAGTGGCGGAGCCAGCATATATTTAGAGGGTTTATTTAAATCCTATTCGGTGAAAAAATATATTATTTTAATGTAGTTAAAACAATTTTTTAGATATATATAGTAGATGTCGAATTCCTTCGGCTACTTTGTATATTTATTTCTTTCAATTTTGAATTTTCTTATCAAAAATTCTGACTCCATCTCTGCAGTGACATAGACTATGGTTGTATATAATTAAGACCTTAATTAGGTTTACACATTATTATGTATAATGTTTTCTCAAACATAATGTTGTACTTCTTTTGTATCATTTTATATGATGTAATTTGACGTGATATTGTTCGTTAATGATGGAAGCTTAATGACAATAAGAATAAGAAGAAAACCAGCTAAGAAGTAGCTAAGACGAAGAAGAAGAAACAGTTTAAGAAGAAGAAGGAAGAGTAGTATATTTATTTATTAAGTCTTAAAAATCATGTACAAGAATGAGCTATATATATAGCTCTTTTACACAAACTATTAACAACTTTTGTAACTAACTAATTGAAGAGTAGTTATAACTAACTTTAAGTAAGAAAGACTATCTACCCTTTCTAGATTCTACAACTTTTCTATATTACAACACTCCCCTTCAAGCTAGGAGGTGAAAAGATATTCAAAACCCCTAGCTTGGATAACAAATGTTCATGTTGTAGTCTAGATAACCCTTTGGTCAATACATCAGCAGGCTGTTCTTTGGTATGAATATACTCCACTTTAATCAGTCCTTTTTGTAACTTTTCTCTTATGAAATGGCAGTCGATTTCAATACGTTTGGTCCTTTCATGGTATACTGGATTGGCAGCTATCTGAATAGCAGCCTTGCTATCACTGTAAACTTGGACTGGTACTTGAACCTTAGTACCTACTTCCTTCAACAATCCCAGCAGCCACACCAATTCTGAAACAGTTGAAGCCAAGCTTCTATACTCAGCTTCAGCTGAGCTTCTTGACACTGTTGTTTGCTTTTTTGCCTTCCATGATATTAATGATCTACCAATCTTAACCATATACCCTGTCACAGACTTCCTAGTGAGTGCACAAGATGCCCAATCAGCATCACAAAATGCAGTAACTTGTCCATCTGAATCACTTGCCAATAACAGTCCTTTACCAGGTTGATTCTTTAGGTATCTGATTACCCTTAATGCAGCATCCAGATGAGAACTTTTTGGTTGCTGTAAAAATTGACTCAGTGTCTGAGTACTGAATGATATATCTGGTCTTGTCATATTCAAATACAACAATTTGCCTATTATCTTCTGATATGTTGTTTGATCAATCAAAGGATCATCTGATTCTGCTTGCTTCACCTGCTCATCATATAGTTTAGATGTTAGTTTGACATTGATGTCAATAGGTGTTCCTGCAGGCTTAGCTGTTGTCAATCCAACTTCAGTTATAAGTTCCAGTGTATATTTCCTTTGATGCATTACTATACCAGTTGCTGATCTAGTAAACTCAATGCCTAGAAAGTATTTTAACTCTCCTAAATCTTTCATCTTGAAAGCTTGTTGTAGAGCCTTTTTTGTTTCTTCTATTAGTTTAAGACTACTACCAGTAATTAGCATGTCATCAACATACACCAATACTAATATAGTTCCCTCTTCTGACTGATTAATAAACAAGGAATAATCATGTTGGATTTGTTTGAACTTGAGATTTCTAAGAGCTTCAGTAAGCTTTTGATTCCATTGCCTTGGAGCTTGTTTCAGCCCATATAGGGACTTTGTTAGTCTACAAACTTTCTCCCCTTGACCAACAAATCCCTAAGGTAGTTGCATATAAATTTCATCATCCAAATCACCTTGAAGAAAAGCATTGAATACATCCATTTGATGAATATGACAATGCCTAGCTGCTGCAATAGAAACAATAGTTTTGACTGTCACCATTTTAACCACAGGTGAGAATGTCTCCTTGTAATCTATTCCTTCTTGTTGAGAATAGCCTTTAGCTACTAGCCTTGCTTGAGTCTCTCTATCTCTCCTGATGATTTGTATTTAACCTTATAAATCCATCTACATCCAATAGCCTTCTTCCCCTTTGGCAAATCAGTAAGCTCCCAAGTATGATTACTTTCTAGTGCTTGAATTTCCTGTTGCATGGCTTCTATCCATCTTTTATCTTGAGCAGCTTCTGAATAGGACTCAGGTTCTTTAATAACATAGGTGGCTACTATATAGCTTTGATATGTAGGAGAAAGATGAGCATAGCTCATGTACTTTCCTAAAGAGTACATAACATCTTTGTTAATATTCAAGGATACAAAATCCTTCATCCAAGTTGGTTTGAGTTTCTGTCTAGTAGATCTTCTATTAGTAGTTGCAGATACTTGATTCATCTCATTGTCTACCACACCATCAGTTTGAGCTTGTTCTGTCTCATCAACAGAAGACAAATTATGAGTCTCATGAGATACACTATCATCATGAGACACAGTAGTAGAAGGATACCTAGGAATCACAGGATTTATACACTGTACCTCACTACTTAAAATGTCTGAAATTTGCATAGGATCTACAAACACTCTTTCTTGTAATAAAGAATCTATCTTTGTAAAAGGAAACACATCTTCTCTAAACACCACATCCCTACTTGTGAAGAATGATTTATCAGTTAGATCAAGAAATAGATATAACTTTTGTAACTCTGAATAACCCATAAGTGCTGTTGGTCTTGATCTAGACATCAACTTATCATGTTGTGTTAGATTTTTAGCAAAACACAAACATCCTAGAGTTTTGACATGAGATAGTGATGGTTTACTACCATACAACCTTTCATAAGGGGTATTAAACTGTAGAACACTACTTGGTAACCTATTAATGATATATGCTGCAGCTAACAAACACTGACCCCAATATCTGATAGGAATATGAGCATGAAGTCTCAAAGCTCTGGTAACTTCAAGTAGGTGTCTATGCTTTCTCTCAGCAACTCCATTTTGCTGAGGAGTGTATGGACATGATCTTTGGTGTAAGATTCCCAATTTTGTAAATAGCTTGTGACATTCTGAGTTTACAAACTCAGTCCCATTATCAGTTCTCAACACTTTAACTCTCTTACCAAACTGAGTTTGAACATATTGTAGAAACAATCTAATGGAAACACACACAATAGATTTATGTGAGAGTAAAAATAGCCAAGTTACTCTTGAAAAATCATCCACAATTGTAAGAAAATACTTCTTGCCATCAACAGGTTGTGTATTATAAGGACCCCAAAGATCAACATGAAGTAGCTCAAAACAAGTAGTACTCTTAATGCTACTATTAGGGAACACATTCCTTGTTTGTTTAGCAAATGGACATACAAGGCACTTAGAAATGCTACATGCACTTTGCTTATTCACTGAAAACATTCTTGCAAGTACTGTTGATGATACATGACCCAATCTTCTATGCCATAACACCATATCAGTCTCCTTGACATCATGAGCAGCAAATGCAGTCTCAACTTCCTTTTCTTGATCATTATATTGAGTAGTCAAATACTTTATTAGCAAGTACAATCCTCCTTCCTCTTTACCAACTTCTTTCACCTTCCCACTGTAGAGTTCCTGGAAGACACAAAAATGAGGAAAAAAGGTAACAGAACACCCTAGTTCTTTAGTAATCTGACTTACTGATAACAAGTTATACTTGAAATCAGGTATGTGAAGCACATTTGATATAACACTCCTTGTTGATAGACTACAAGATCCAATGTGAGAAACCTGAGTAGTAGTACCATTTGGTAGATATACAGGCTTAGAGACTTCAAGTTCATGCACAGTATTTTTAGTCAACATATTCAAACTAGACACCATATGGTTTGTTGCACCAGTATCTATAATCCACATATTACTGTGTGCAGAAACAAAAGATGGTTTACCTGTATTGTTGACAGTATTACACACAGAAGTTGTAGGCTCAGCCTTTTGTTGAATCATTTGTAAAATATGATCATATTGATCCTTTGTAAATGTACATCCTTGAAGCAACTGTTGAACCTCTTTCTCTGCTGGACTCACTGTTCTATTAACACTAGGAGTTGAATCTCTGATGAAGATTGATACTGCTCAGGTACATTCCCCCATCCTGGTGGAGGAACATTGGTGTTTATTCCATAGGTGAGATTTGCACGAGTTGATTGTGCCTGACTGTAGTTGTTACTACCAGTATTACCATATGTAGGAGAAGTTCCTTGCACTTTCCTTTTGGACTTAAAATCAGGAGGATAGCCTACAATCTTGTAACAAAATTCTTTGTTGTGGCCCTTACATTTGCAAAAATCACATATCAACAATGTGTTTCTTTTCAATTTCTGACTTACATTGGAGCTGGTACTTGCTTTAGAATATAGAGCAACTGACTCCAAAGCAGCTGAAATGCTTTTAACACCACTAACTATAGCCTTTTGACTCTCATCACCTACTATCATAGCATAGGCATAGTTAATTGATGGTAATGGATCCATCATCAAGATTTGACTTCTTGCTTGATGATAGGAGTCATTTAAACCCATTAGAAACTGATACAACTTCTGCCTATTCATATGAGCAATAAAACCTTTGGATATTTCACAATTACAACAAGGCGATGGCACCAACACTTCAAACTCATCCCACAAGCTTTTCAATTTTGTATAATACATAGAAACAGAAACAGTACCCTGCTGTAGTGAAGCTATATCTTTGTGTAGACTATAAGTTCTAGAATCATCTACTCTATCGAATCTTTCTTTTAGATCCGTCCAAACATCAAAAGCAGTAGAAGCAAATGCAATACCACTCAGTAAACTCTTGGATGCAGAGTTCATTAACCATGACAACACTATAGCATTCACTCTTTCCCATTACCCCCATATTTCCTTACCAAACATCTCCTTTCTAGCAGTTCCATCAATCAAGCCCATCTTATTTCTTCCTAGTAGAGCTATCTTAATAGATCTACTCCACAAAGTGTAATTCTCAACACCAAGCACTTGAAACGAGATAATACTCATACCACTAACATCAGTAGGATTAAGAAACAAAGGATGGTTATAATCGATACCTTGACTCTCTGCCCAGAGATGGCTTGTGAAGATCTGGCTGACTCTGCATTTTCCTCTTCAATTGCCATTTAAGATTTGAAACTTAATGATTCAACAACTTGAACTTAAAGATCTTTTCAACAAAAAAACCTTGAGAAACTTGTGAATCTGTGAATCAGTAACTGATTCTTTGATTTTGTGATTTCTCAACCAAAAATTTTTTTTGAATCATGAATCTATCGTGATTCTTTGATTCTGCGGATTCTCCAACTTCATCAGTGTTTACTGAGAAGAAGAAGCTCTGATACCATGTTCGTTAATGATGGAAGCTTAATGACAATAAGAAGAAGAAGAAAACCAGCTAAGAAGTAGCTAAGACGAAGAAGAAGAAACAGTTTAAGAAGAAGAAGGAAGAGTAGTGTATTTTTTTATCAAGTCTTAAAAATCATGTACAAGAATGAGCTATATATATAGCTCTTTTACACATCAAACTATTAACAACTTTTGTAACTAACTAATTGAAGAGTAGTTATAACTAACTTTAAGTAAGAAAGACTATTCTACCCTTTCTAGATTCTACAACTTTTCTATATTACAACAGATATGCAATTTAAGAAAGAAAAACTATTGAAATTTGTGGTCTAAATTAGTAATATATAGATGTTTGTGTGACGATAAACAATTTCTTCAAGGGTAAAATGAATATTTTAAAGTTAATAAGATTGTTACTAAATATAGAAATGTGTCATTTTGTTTTTATACTTACTGAAAAAGGAAAGTGAGTAATATAAATTCGGAGAAAGAAAGTATAATAACATGACATAATATTATGTGTTCAACCTATATTCTTGAATTTTCCTCTAAAACCCCTAAATTATTGAAGCAAGAACCTCTTATTGAGATAATGGTTTGGTTCTTCACTCAACCATTTCAAAATTAATTGGGAATAAATCTTAATCTTTAGACAATATACACTTTTTTATCTTATTTTACAAGATATGAATTCAAATATACATATATTTTCTTGGACCAATTCATCAATATAAGTGACGGCTAAGGAGGATTGAATATCACTTAAGGTTTGATTGCAAAGGGTTGTAATTTTTATCATTAATTCATAGGATATCAATTACTATTTTCGTCCCAATTATTGTGATGGTAAAGTGTCTAGCCAAGTTTAAGAAAAATAAGATATTAGAAGTAATGGTCTAAAACAAGGTATAAATATTTGTATAATTACAAATAATTATACTAAGAGTAAAATAAACATTTTAAATCAAATAGTTTCAAATGTGGAAGCATGACATTCTTTTCGTGACGGTAAATAATATATCATATAAATTGAGACAATTTAGTACTTATAAGTTTAGGGTTGGTAGAATTGTTGGACGGAAGAATTGATTAAAAAAACACGCACTCAAGGGCATGATTAACAAGCCAACTAACTAAAAAAGAACAAATTTCTTCAATAATAATATACATAATTCTAATCAATTTGTAGTTGAGTTAAACTTAGAAACGACGAAGACGTTCTAATAAGGATAGTCGATACAAGTGGACAGTATTGTGACTGCAGAATCAAGATTTCACTAAAAATATTTAAAATATGAATAAATAAACACAAAAACTAGAACGAAGGAGGTTCAATAACATCTATTTTAAACATAAAAATTAACTTTAACCATATACATAATTTTCTGGTGAAGTTGGCTCCGCCCTTGAAAGCAGGGCCAGCTCTTGCCTTCAAAATTTAAGGCATTGGCCTTAGGCCTCCAATTTTTGGGGCCTCAAATTTTACAAATAAATAATTATATATTTTAACCCCATTAAAATAGAAGAAATCAAGGAAATATTATTTTGGATTCTTACATTTTTTTTTGCTAACTTTCACATTATTTATCCCTTTTAATTCCTTTTACATTCTATTTCTTTAAATCTTTGATAGTTAGAGTAATACACTCTCAAAAATATGAATCAGTAGTCGAAAAGTGTTGAACAAAGTGCATTAAATTTTTCTTTTTAATTTCTTTGTTAATTTTTATATTAAAGTGGGTATACCAAGTTATCAACTTTTTGAATCCGATTCTATTTCTAACTCTTATCTTTAAAGTTTATTAACTTATTATTTATAGAATTATGTTAATAACTCATATAATAATGTTTTAATAAAAAAATGTCTGAAAAAAACATTTATATAAAGATATTAAGTAGTAATTTATATCTAGAAATTAAGAAAAATAAATAAATATTGATAAAATTTATTTAGATTTTAGACCTCTAACAAAAATTTCGCTTTAAGCTACAAATTATATTGAACCGCTCCGAATTTATTTATAGTTGATTACCTCCCTAGATATAACCTATTTTTCTCTCGAAGAACTTGACAATATAGCTAGCTTAATGCTATTTGATCAACTTGTGTGAAGCAGGGCGCAGGCTCCCTAGTCGACGCCTGCGGCAACTTGTCTCCAAACATATTATAAATAAATATTACAATAGGGAACAACGTTGACCAACATGCATGCTTGGTTTTAAATAAGTATAACTTACTTAAATACTAAATGGATAGTATAATAATTAAATTACATTCTATCTTTACTCTTTTCTATTTTATAAAAAAAATTTAAAATATCAATCATTCAAATACATAATTGGTTGTCCGGATATATTAGTATTGCCCTGCAATAAGTGTCGATCTGTTTCCCTAAAACATGAAATAAATTTAAAAATTTAGTTAAATCCCATAAGTTACACTTACATTTCTTTTTACTATCAATCAGACAAATTTAATATATGTATTTAATGTGCTTCATATTTATCGTATCAAATACATACCTGCAAGATCTTCACATTTTGCCTCAAATTAAACAAACTTTTGATATTACATTTTTGTATCACTATTTATGAATTTAATAAATACTTGTGTTACACTTTAATGTATTATATATACAAGTTATAAGTATCAGATGCATTATTGCGCGTCAAGATCACTATTATGTATTCATGACATGTTGTTATGTATCAATTTGTTATTCACTTTATTAGATGGCTATCTATAATAGAAAAACATAGTATCGACGAATTCAAATACAATTTTTTTACCACATAGTTAGCTATAAAAATAGTAAAGTCTATGTATCACACATATGATTTAGTAGTGTGTATAGATGGACGTCTTTTTTAATTTGAATACGGTAGAAGATACATAGTCACACTAGATATATGATAATTAAGTGACATATTTGATAGAAGTTTTGTATCGAATATCAAAACTAATTAAGGTTATATATCAAAACAAATATTTGAACATGATACATGTGCGATAAAATTGTAATGTATAGGAGTGTTGAAACAAAGACATTATACATTAATTAAGAAACAACATTAACTTGATACAATAAAAATCTAGTTAATGCATCTCTAACTATCATTGTCAGATAATTTAGTTATTTGAACACGACACATTGTATATGATGAAGTTGTAATGTATCATAACGTTGAAACAAAATCATTACACATTAATTTGATAAATAAATTTTTTTTGGAAATATTAAAAATTTGAACCCATATATATCAGCAAATGAACAAGAAAAAATAAAAAAAAATCAACAATCCGCTATGTTTCGACTTCTCCTTCTCAACATTCACTTTAGATGACGAATGTACATCCACTTTTTTTTTCTACATTCACTTTAAATATGAATGTACACCCTTCTTCTCTTTCTCCTTTTCAACATTTATTCTTGTATCATTGTTTTACTCTTAATAATGAAGTCGCATATGGATCTCGATCCGAAACCCTTACTAGAGCCCACCAATAGATCGACTGTTTTTCTTTTTTTTTTCCTTTTGAGCCCTTTTTCATTGTCAATTTAGAAGTCGAAGATGCTTCCTTCTTCAAGTAATTGGGTAAGCCCAATATTATAATATAAACTTTTATGCATGTGTACATAACAATTTCAACAAAGTATATATCTACAAGAAAGCTCAAACTTCATAGACCACGTCAATGAGTAATTGATTAAATACTCATATTTATAATCATTGGACTGCATCCATTTACCATCATTCTGGAGATTAATTGATATATCCTATACTACTTTCATATCAGCGTATGATTGCCTTTTTAATATAACATCATATGGAAAGAGATTTACCTCTTGAATAACTTGAATTCATTAATTAAAAAGAGAAAAGATTTGAAATTCATAAATGAATTGATGTGATAATTGTGAAAAGAGGAGCAAAAAGCAGTGGGAATAAAAAGTTGGAGGAGAAGAAAAGGATGGGAGAGATTTATGGAGTGAAATCAGGAAGTGATAAACATGAGTTTGGGGAATGAGAGTTATGTATTTGGTAGTTTTGTGTTACACTAAAAAATAAGGGATATTGATTTTTTTTTTAGAACCGGTAGGAATAATTGAAATTATGGAAAAAAAGTATGTATATAGGTAACTTATCCATGGAGCTTCACACCAGCCGCGAAGTAGCTCGTGAAAGAGCCTTGACAAACTTTAAGGTTTGGATCAATTTTAAATGATCATATCTTTCAACACAAAATGATTTAGGTAGGCCACGACCTATAAAATTAAAGGTATTTGAGTCCTCTTTCCAATGCCACTTTATGGATTGTGGTATCATGACGGTCTGTGAAGCCTATCTTGAAGTCAATTCGTCATCCTTTAAGTGAGATTTCACCCCCAAAGCCACTAGTTAAGCGCTACAGACGTCTAAACGGTCTGTGGAGCTCCACACGGACCATAAAGTCGTTCATGAAGGAGACT